CTTTTCGTAGATAGAGCCGACTGCTTCGGAGATCACGATGAGCCATCCCACCGAAAGAGCGTATACAGTGGCGGACCACAGCACTGCGGGGTAGGCAAACAATATGAACGGTCGCAAGGCAACACGAAACCAGTTGTCGTGAGCAATGCGCCCATTCCAAGGCCGGAGGTAGTACGTGAAAGAAATCCTGGGCTGCTCACGGAGTCGGTTGGTGTATTGTGCTGCGGGAGTAGCTGGCGGAGCAGGGTCCATAGACTCACTACGAGCCGGAGAGAGTTCAAACCGCCGACCCGTCTCGAGCTCCGAGGGAGATACTGCCCCGGGAACAGGTGGAGTGAGGAAACCGTCATCTTTCTCATAATCAGCAGGATGTGCTGCTTCTGGGCCTGGCTGGCTTGCAGAAACTTCAAGTGCGGGGGTGATTTGATTTTCCTGCTCTTCGTTCTGTACCTTCTCCAGATCGTGGGTATCGCCTTCACCAGCTCCATCAACAAAGCCAACGTGTCCCTTCTTGGCCTTCTTTGGTTGGGCAGGAGCCAGCTCCTCATCTGGCGACGGATCTTCCAGACGGTGGGCATGTGGGTGCCGGCCTCGGAATCCATGAGCCATGATGTTTGACATTCCACGATAGATGCTGGGGCGTTTGCGGGGTCGATGAGGTCGAGGGGTGCGGTCCCAGAATGTTTCCGGTACAAAAAAGAAAAGAAGGACAAGACAGCCGCCGACAACAATGGCAACGACCCAGAAGACCCAACGCCATCCTAGGCTGCTAATGATAGCTGCACTGACCAAAGGAATGAGGTTTTTGCCCCCTAGCAGAAGAAGCGTGTAGATTCCAACGCGATATGCCCGTTCATGCAAGAAGAAAATCTCTGCAATAGTTGCGGACGGCAGACACTCGACCGGGCTTACTGCGATCCCCTGGAAAATGCGGGCGACAACCAGACTGGGGTAGTTGGGTGACAGCGCACACCAGACGGCAGAAAGGATGAAGAGCGTTGCGCCCAGGAGATACACTGGGCGTTTCCCAAACAGAATAGCTGTTGGGGACATTACTACAGACCCGACCCCAAGGCCAAGCATGTATAACCCCGTGGTATAAGCTACCCTTTGAGTGGTTACGCCATAATCCGAGGCGACTTGCTCAAAACCGGCAGCCAGGATCGGGGTCATGCCCCCGCCCATCAGGCAATAAAAGCCTAAGGATACCAAAGCCGCATCTCGGCGCCATACAGGCCAGTTCAGTGGATCGTTTGCTGAATCATCGGGCTGTGGGTTCAGGATAATCTGACCGTTGGCGGTCTTCTTCTGTGGTGGGACGGAGCGGGATGAAGCCCGCGACGGTGGATAAGGTGAAGGTATGGAGGAGCTGGATTCACGATGTGGTTGGTGCCTCAACCCCAACGGCTCGTTGCGATTAGAAGAGAGCAGAAGGACCGTTCCTGCGTTCACATTGTGAGCCGGCACGTTCTACCACTGCCAACCGGAATCTCCTGCCTGATTCAGCCACTCACCAGGTACCTCATCGGTCTCTTTGTCACTTAAAATCCCGAGCGTGGCTTTGGGACGATAAGAGTCATTGTTTTCCGCTTCTGGTGCTGATATCTTCGGCGTCCTTTTTCCAAACCAACCGGCGAATCGGCTCTTTTTTGTGTTGGGCTGCTCCGACGCCGAAGCCAACGGTGACTCTTGAGAGGCCATTATGATGTCGCAAAGAGACCAAGTGGGACAAAAAAATCTTCGTGGTGTCTATAGATTGAGGGGCAATCTGTGTTGATAGAGCATGTTGTCAGCTATCAATTTCCTATTCGGTACGCGATTATGGACTGACCGACGTCACCAGACAAAAGCTCAGCTCGGAAAGCAATAGCGGCGCCTCAGCATTCTATTCAGTCCAGTAGTGAAGGCCAGCAATTGAATTGGTGAGGGGACGGGGACGAGTGTTCGAGAGGCAAGCAGATGAGAAAAATGATCACAGCCTGCAATGAACAAGCAGAACCGGCCACGGTGCAGGCTCGTCAACAGACATGACTAGCAGTGGGAGGATGGTGACATCTTATAAGAAAATGAGACTTTGGCCAAGGGGTCCAAACCAAAGGCTAAACCCAGGAGGGTGGAGGGAAGCGAGTTCAAACAGAAGATATTAACAAGAAGATTATATTTGAGGAGTCGGTGAAGGTAGTCTAGTCAGACAATTAGGATAAAGATTTGGCTGATAAGGAGGGAAGATTGAAGGGAATTTCCTCCATAATTTTGGGCCGCGGGAGTGAAAGACGGCCACCCAGTGATCCATCCGTGCACAACCGCAACCGGTGATTGGCTTCCCGTCTCGGTAGCTTCGACTACATTCAGTTTCAATGCGCCCGACGGACTTTCTTGACTTTGGTTTGTGCTGAGCCCCACCATTCGGTAGGCTCCAGAGATCAGATGCTCAATCCTATCCCATTCATCATGCGCTCTGGACGAGGATGGAGGGGGAGAACGGGCTCTGCTTTGCTGTTTCAGCAACGATGACGATTTGCACTCATGACCTGTCTGCAGATCCGGACTCGAGACCAGGCGGAGAGGCGCAAAGCCAAACTCGACCTCCAAAAATAAGGCAACCCTTCTATCCATTTCTCCATCTTTTTATATGGCCCTGTCTCATGGAGATGGTGAAACAAAAGTCCTGTAGCACGCAATGGCTGCCAGGGATCTTGTTATCGTTGCTTCAGCATCAGTCCTGACAACAAGTCAGGTGTTCCTCCACATTGTCTCCGCTCATAGATTACAACGTCCTTGTAGTTACAGGACATGGTTGTACAGAGGCCTTGTTGTAGGCTTGTAGCCTCAAGTTGTCCGCCGCGGGGGATCGCCCCCTCTAATCGGCAGTGGCGGAGGTCACCTGATGCAGTCACGAGTTTGTGGGGTCTGATGCAGGAATGCACGAGGTGAACAGCTGTCATTCACAACATCTGCAGCGACGTCAGCGTCAGCCATAGCAACCGCGTCCTACAAGAGTCAGAAAGGTAGAAGGGGCAACAACAGCAAATAGGAAAGAGTCGCATCGGAAAGGAGAATCGGTCCATGATGTATGCCTTGACCGGAATGTGACATGTATGGTCTTAGCAAAAGGAGGGATCTGTGGGGGAGAAAGGCGGGGAGTTGAGCAGAACAATATCTGGTTTGCCGCGGTGCGAGATGAATCATGCAGTGATTAGCAGGAGTGTCCAGAATAGTCTGAATTTTAGCAGACATCAACTATAAATGATCTTCAAGCGGGTCGATATAGAGTGTTCATCTCGATTCTTTGTGCCCGTTTTAGCTTGGTATTCGCTGCTTGTACCTCAACACGCGGGATTATCTTACCCCGCAAATGCCGCAAATGCCGCAAATGTACATACTTCCTTCATCTACAGAGTACAAAGACTCCCACGTGACCTCTCATACTCCCCCCTTGCAGATGAGCGCCATGATCGTTCACGTTTCCGAGCCTCCTCGATTCTTTCCTTGTAAAGAAAGACTCTTTTTCTATACTCTGATCTCCAGCAGCTTCGGACGTCGACCAACCGGTTGAGGATAAGAAGAGAAGTTGACCACCTGCCCGACATTCCATCCGAGATTAATAGCAAGTATTCGCAGTGAATCATGAGACAGATGAATGCGGAATCAATGTGATTGTCGTAATGAGTATGATGGTTGTCCACTGATAAAATACAAATAAACCTGTGCATTGACAGAGTGGATCAACTTGTGACGGGCTACAACATACAGCCTGCAGCCCATCGATGCGACGCTGCGTGCCACTGCCTCCAATACACAATCTTTTATTGCCCGCATCTTGCATCCGCCGTTTATTATCCTCCTTCTACTTATCTTCGTCCCAACTGAAAGTGTCGACTTCTTCGAGTTCGACATCTGCAGCATCGGAGCAGCAATTCTGGCTCAATACCACTGCACCTGCAGGACATCGAAAGACGAGAAGGGCATGGCCTCTAGGTCCGGAATCGATATCGTCAGCATCAGCCGGAAGAGATGGTCTGCGATGTCTCAAGCCTGTGCAAGATCCCACTTCTGTAAAAGACACCGCCAATGGGACTTTCTAAGCGACCAGTTGGGAAGGATGGAGGCACCGTCAGGTCTACCTTTCCGCACAAAGATCGCATGGGGAGCCACCAGAGCCGGATTGCTAAGGCTGTCTTGTCGTCGAACATCCCAACAGGTTCAAAGCCGGAGCGTGGCGTGTCTCGTAAGTCAATCACAAGGGATCCGGGATTTTCGGGTCGAAGCAACGAAAGCGGACGAGAATATCGGGGTGTGGATTTGTAGTCTTAGTCGCTTGTGCTGATATTGTAGTGTGTCTGTTTCAAGGACTTGAGTCGTGATCGGATGGCGGCGGTGTTTTTGATAGTACAATTCCGATGGAAGTCGAAATATAAAAGTCACATCAAAATCGTATCACCAGCCATTCTAGGACCAAGTACCTGCACCGACGCATGGAAGTCATTTCTGCAAGGAGGGTCACCTGACGAATGAATGGTGACTACCGCTTGGAGCACCACCACAGCCGATCAAGCGCATAGGGGCCGTTAGAGAGTAAACCTTCCGCGACTGACTAGTGTTGCCCTCTCTTACACCTTATCATCTAGAACACAAACGTGCTCACGTCCCCAAGTTGTGATCTTTTCACTTGTGAAACTTCTCGTTCCCCCGATATCAGCCTTAACCACATACCCTCCGATACAGGATCATCCGTCCGCGCATTCGAGTCTCTTCACTCTGATCAGGACGATAGAGACGCGTCAATCCATCGCCCCTAGCCTGATGTCGCATGCTTCGCGTTCTCCACAGAATCCATCGATATGGCCTAGCAATCTGGCTCTCCAACACTGAAAGTGATCCTCCACTGGGGCTGATCGGATACGGCCCTGGTTTCACCTGGGTGACCGATTGTTGACGATCGTGTGGGCATGCTACATGCGGAGTATCTTGGTTATGAAGCCATTATCAACGGCAGTCCTCCCATTTTCCAACCTCTCATTCAGATTGGGATAGTCGACATTAAGTATCAGGAGTATGGAACTCGTTGTGAACGCCACGCATTGCTTGTTTGGATTGAGCGAAGCATATCAGGACGATTTTGCCGCCGGGAACAATGGACACTCTGCGTCAGACGAGCCAAAGCTGGAATACGAACAGATAATCGTTGTTGACAGTACCGATGGTCTGGGACCCAATTCATCGAGTGCTGCTGTGGACTCAAGGTTGATCTTCGATGCTTGGGAGACGTTCGTTCCAGACGGCGACTCCCTCTCCTTCAGATGGTCTCAATGGATCGAGCCGTCGACGAACCATTGAACGATAGAAGAGAATGTGGTCCAGTGGGGCTTCAACACGGAGTCCGGGAAACAAAGTTGTGTCTCTTTGGTCTCTCTCTCTCGTCTTCGACCGCGAAGGGAGGGCGGTTGTAAGTGATAAGGATGGTAGCCAGACCCTGCATCTGACTCTGCAGGTGGCTGATCCGGAGACTCCACCGCTAACGAGCTATACAGCGATTCAGGTCTGCATCTAAGGGCATAGCTACATGAAATGATGGGTTCCGAGAAAAGATTTAAAGATCGATCTGAATAAGTCGAGACCCCAGTGCTTTAAGTTAACGTTATGTTTAATTGCACCTGTGGTCCGGCCGGAGCCAAGAAAGCTATTGATTGCCTGCTGGTTGGGATGGCTGTCCGTGCCAAAGCCCTAACCAATGGCAACGCCGGCAGATGATTACGAACACGAGGTATTGTACTGCCAACAAGCAGCCAAAAGCCAAAAGACGAAGAACATGGGAAATGAAGACAGAGCCCGATGTGAGAAATCCTTCCGAATGCAGGGAGGAGAAGCCCCTCATCTCGATTTCCCCCTCTCAACTCTCGGTCGTCTTTTGAGTTTGTACCATTATCCTCTCGGTCGGAGACGATGTCATCATTCCTTTGTCTCTGAGTGCTTCAGATTCAGATGCGAATCCCTGTTTCTTTATTCAATCTCGAGTGTTAAACTCGCGGCCTCGCCAGCCGAAGGCTTTGTGCGACCTACACAGCCAGATTTGACGACCTGCTCAGCCTTGTCTCACGGAATAAGAGGAAAATTGTTCTGTCTCTTCAGCCCCCTTTGTCTGCTGACCCCTCGCCACGACTTTCACAACTTACGCTGCTACTACATCTTGACTTTCCTTCTTGTTCTCGTCGTTAACTGCAAGCACCATCAAGATGTCCTATTACGGGGACACATCGTCGATAACTTCGGCGGCGACGACTACGGCGACGACATCGACGGCAAGCCGCTCCTCCACCTCGTCAGCAACAACGGGCGTGGCGACACACACGGTCGAAGTTGGCTCCAAGACCTCTCCCCATGGGTATTCTCCGCATAACATCACTGCCAAAGTTGGCGACGTGATTGTGTTCGAATTCTATCCCCGGAACCATTCAGTCGTGAAAGCCGACTACCTAGCGCCGTGTGTGCCTGCTAGCAAGTCCGTCTTCTACTCGGGAATCTTCAACAGTTTCAATGAAGATGATGGCGATTTGGTCGGACCGGTACTGCCTCTGATGTACTCTTGTCGAAAGTTGTGACCTGACAATCATTTTGTGTTAGCCACCTACATGGTCCCTCGTTGTGAACGACACCGAGGTATGTTCTTGCCGCCCTCTAGCAAGACACAAGCGACCTATATGCGACAGCAAACTGATCCAAGGCACAGCCAACCTTCTTCTACTGCACAGCCATAGATTCCTGCCTTGTCAATGGCATGGTAGGCGTCATCAATCCTGTACGTCTCTCTTTCAGCCCTCTTGTCTATCTGACCACGTCAAACTGACCCCACTCCACCTCTCTCAGAACGAAACGATGACCTGGGAAGCGCAATACGAGAAAGCAAAAACTTACCCTTACATGCTCGTCCCTGGCCAGTCCATGCCGGCCGAAGGCTCCATTCCCACCTCCAACAGCACCGCCAGCTCCAGTCCATCTGCCTCCTCGTCGTCCGGATCCGGCGGCCTCAGCGGCGGCGCCATAGCAGGTATCGTCGTGGGCTCCGTCGCCTTCGTCGGCATCTTGGGCGCATTATTCTTCCTTCTGGGACGGAACAGGGTGTATCAGAAGTGGATGTCCTCACAGGACGGTCGCACGGAGCGGACGGCGAAGTGGGCGGCGATGTTGAGCCCCGGTCATGGTGGCGGGGACCAGGCGCAGAGCCAGGGACATGGACGGGGAAAGAGTGACTACGACGCGGGCGTCGCCGGGCTAGGGGTTGGCATGATGCAGACGGCTCCCGGACAGCCTCTCCAGCAGCAACAGCAGATGCAACAGCCCTACGGGGACTACGGCAACGCGCAGTCTCCCGGAACGGCGGTGTATGCGACCAGTCCGGATCTGTCGGGGTCACCGCCGCCCCAGAGTCAGGGGGGCCATTGGAGTTGGGATGCGCAGCAACAACAGCAGGTGTACCAGGAGCAGGCACACGGGCACCAGCCTGGGCAGGTTTATTATGAAGCGATGGCGAGAGGGCCGTCGGAGTTGGAGGCTACGAGTAGGAAATGAGCGAGTGGTGTGAATGAACCGGACTACGTGAGCGAGGTGTGAGCAGAATGTTCTCGACGTTGCATGATGTTGTGTTGTGTCTATACCCTTCTTGATCCAAACTGTCTGTGCAAGTTTCGGTCTGTCTCTTTGATTTTACCTTCCTTCTTTGTCACTTTTTTGGGAGTTATGAAGTATATAATATCAATATGTCAACGACATGAGCTGTGGGTTGTATGCAAACGGAGGCAACATGTCTCCCATCCACAACAGTTGGTCAAGCCACAGCCAGCAGGGCAGGAGATCTGTACTAGGTAGGCTGCAGTCTATCCACGGTGAAACCAACCTATATTCCAGCGAACTATACCTTATTATTCCCTCACTCAATCATCATCTCCTGATCCCGCGCCGATCCCGCCGAGTGGAGACGAAGTGGGTAATCCCAAACGACGGCGTTGTAACAAGCTTAAATTACCCAAAATCTGCCCCAGTCCAAAGAGCTTCTAGACTGGTCCGCCTGATGATTCCTGCCGTCTGCATCTTCCATCCTCCGTCTTCCGTCTCCTTCTGACACACACGACCCCGTCTTTCAGATGAGTCCACAATCCTAGAATCCAGAATCCCGACCATGGAGACTGATCCACATGCACCCCTGGGTTTCGGTTTCGCTTCGACTCAGGACACGTACATCCCGGGGCCAGGCAGTGTCAGATAGAGAGGTAGGTGACCGATCGAATTGTACTGGAGTGGTAGTTTCTGCGGAGAAGCTGGCATCTATATAAAGGTCTACACCTCCCGCCCAACTTTTCTTTTGTTCTCAACAGCACCAGCACCAGCACCAGCACCAGCAACCTGCCATCTGTCAGTATCAAATTGCCAAAAATGGTCTCCACCAACTCCCTCCTCTACGTCGTCCTCAGCGCCGCCTCCCTGGCCGCCGCGACCCTCGACCCGGCCTCCACCAACACCAAGGGCAAATGTCCCGGCACTTACAACTGCTCTGGTAAAGCCTACCTCCTGTCTCGCCTAAACCTAAACCCACCCCGCGGCCCTCAAGCTCAACCCGCCCACCCCCACGAACTTACCCAGCATGCTAACACAAGAACGCGGCACAAAAACAACAGCCAGCAAAGTCTCCACCGCCATCCAAGCCGCCGAGTGCTCGCACAACACCCGCACCTCAGGTACGTCCTGTCCCCCCTGCCTTATAGAAAAAGGAAACTGACACCCCGAACAAGGCACCCAAACCTTCGCCGTCTTCGTGACGGACCACGAGTACGACTCCTCGCACGGCGCCCCCTACGGCACCTGCAGCGCGTACACGTGCACGGCGCCCACGGACGCCGAGATGACCGACTCCGACTCGGATTGCTGGACGTTCTTCTGGAAGTTAGTTGTCCCTTCCCTTTTTTTTCTGTTCTATATTCCCTGGAACCCTGAGCCTGAACCTGAACCTGGGGGGTTGTTGGGGATTGTCTTGGGTGAGGATGCGGGCTGACATAGGCGGCGATATTGCAGCGATAATGGCGAGTCCTCGGGGGTCGGAACGGGGTGCATCAAGAGCCCGACTGATGGGACTTGCGGGTGTGAGGACTCGGATGGCACGTTTGTTTATGGGTCGGACAGCTGCACTTAGAGAGATTGGGTCTGGATATGTGGGTGGGGATGGGGTGTGAGTTGGGGCGAGTTGATCTCGCTTTTGTGGGAAGGGGGGGGGATAGATTGGGTAGTGTACTGTATAACAAGCTGGAGTATTGTTTGCAAGTTTTCTTGGGGTTGGGTAAATGATCTCTCTCATTCTTTATCATTGCGTGCCCTCGCTGCACATGAACTAGATAAATTCTGCGACGTGCAACTGGGTACTTCTTATACAACATACACATAGACATACATGTAGACGAACAACTGGGGTAAAGGATGGTTACAGCTACCGCGTGCTCGCCCCCTTCTGCATGGCAGACAGATGCTCCCACGACAGGGTATCCTCGCCCAGACTCCAGGCCATGATGCCGCCGACCTGCTCGGCGTCGACGATGTCCGTGAACTTGCGGCCGATCAGGTCGCCCGTGTCCCAGCTCCAGAAGATGTTGACGCTGTCGTCGAAGTAGTACTGGCCGCCCATGGTGGCGTCGGTGGTGCCCTCGCTCAGGGCGCGGCGCCACGAGTCCGTGATCGAGATGCCCTTGCAGGTGCCGTAGTCAGAGAGGCAGCCCGCCTGGCAGAAGTCGTCGGTTGTACCGCTTTGCTGTCTGTCAGTTCACATCCAGAGGGAGATAGATCATGATGCATCTGATGAATTCACAAGGGGGCACGTACCAATTCCCGTACTGGCTGCAGCACTGTCCAGAAGGACACTTGGTGCCCTTGTCGAAGCCACACGTGCCATCGGTGGACGTCTTCAGATTACCCGGGGCGGCGCTCATGGTGCTCTTCTCGAAGGTCAGGGCGCCGGACTTGCCGTTGTCCGAGCCGTCGGCGTTCTCCATGACGGCCGCCTTGCAGCCGATGGGGTTGGTCTTGCAGTCCGCGGTGGGGTCCGTGGTGAACCACTTGGCGTAGAAGGCGAAGCCCAGGTTCATCTTGCTGCTCTCGAGGCCGATGGCCGCGTACGCCTTCAGCGTGGTGTGCGAGTCCACCACCGAGGTGTGGTGCATGGTCACGTTGTTGCGGCGGTTCATCAGGTCGTAGCTCATGATGTTGACCATGTCGACCGACGGCCAGATCTTGGGCCCGTTGGCCGGCGTGAACGCGATGAAGTCCTCTAGCTTGCCCGGCACGGCGATCGACAGCAGCTTGTTGGGCCCGATCGCGTCGCGGATCGCCTTCAGGAAGAGCGGGTAGTTGTCGATCTCCGGCACTTTGGCCGAGTTGGGTGTTTGGCGGTAGTCCTGGCCGTTGCCGCCAGGGTATTCCCAGTCGATGTCTGTGGATGGGGTTTCATCACGGGTTAGGGCTGTGTATTGTAGAAGATTGGAAGAGGGAAGAGGGAAGAGGGAAGAGGGACGATTTACCAACGCCGTCCAGGCCCAAGTTGTTGATCATGGTGGCAACGTTCTTCGCATAGCGGGTGCGAGAAGCCTCGTCCTTGGATCCCTGCGAGAATCCAGACGTGTCACCCCATCCGCCGATGGCAATCATGACCTTGGTGTCAGGGCCGAAGCGGTTGCGCATCGTCGACACGGACTCGAACGGGGTGAACTGTGGGGGCGAGTCGGAGTTGAACAGGGTCGAGGGCGCGAACGCCATGATCGCGTGCGTGACACCCTGGGTCTTGTCCTTACCTGGCAGGTTGGCCGTGTGGTATCTACTCGATTTTCAGTACGTGATGAGGCAAAGATAGCAGGCGGGCGGACTCACTGGTCAATATACATTGCCATCCGCAAGGCTGTCGCGCACTGAAGGCCCATCAGGGCCAGTGCGAGTCGTTTGAGCATGATCGTGAGTTCGTTCGTGTCCTGTCTCGTCGGGTTGTATGGGCGGTGGTGGTCGATAGGTGGTGGGTGTGCGCCCTGGACTGAATCAGGTGAACAGCGCGCGCAAAGTGACTGTCACCTGCTTTTTGGCGTCGCCAAGTGGACCAGCAGGAGTAATAAACTGACAGCCTGGCGAGGATCCAGAAATAAACACACGGAGACAGGCCTCCATTCCGACTCGGGCATTTTGCTGCCTCCTGCCTAGACCTGGGGTTGTCGCCCAGTCATGGGCATGCATTTGAAGAATTTCCCGAGTCCACAGCAGACCTCCAATGACGGGTTGAATGAGATGATTAAAGTGTGCCATGGTAGATGCGGTATGGAGGTTGCTCCATGCCTGCACCTTGGATGGGATATGGGATTCTTCTTTGCGTCACGGCCGGAATTGCTGCGGTGTTGATTGCTGGCAGCTCCAGTTGGCCAGCATTCCCGCCGACATTCCGCAAAACAAGCATGCCTCAACCGCCTCCCGGCACTGCACTTTGTTCAGTTCTGAAACAATTACACAAGTTAGGGATACAGGAGGCTATTGAAGCCAATTTCATTGTCTTTCCTTGGCGATGTACAGCAGACTCAGGTCAGATCTTACACGGGGGGAAGCCAAGATGTTAATTTCACGGTTCAAATCCATGTTCATATGAAAAACGCTAGATCCAAAGTCTTAATACTGTATGGGTATCTTGTAAAAGTATTTCTGAAGCTGAAGATCGTCCACACGACGGGCTACTGGGCTGCGCTGCAAGTCCTTAATCCCAGTGTCGCCGGATAATCGGTCGGGCTGGATCCCACGGCCCAGTCACCACATTCTTATACTTCTGGAGACTGATCAGCCACCAGCTACATCCTCCCATAGTCAGCGCCGTCAGGATGCTCCCTAAAATGGATCCGACCACAAACGCCGCCCATCCGCCACGCAGGGTGATGCCCACGGCACCGCCAGCGACGAGCACCAACGCCAGCGTCAGCAGAACATGGCCAGTCCAGGACACATGACGCAGCTGCCGTCGGAAAATGGGAAACAACCCAAAGACCTCCATTGAGAAGAGCATCAGGCTAAACACGTGGGTGGTGGATGGCAGTCGAGACGCTAATACGGTGGAAGCCATCACTGCGGCATTGGTAGACAGGGAAGCCGGGAATTTGGTGGCGCCTGCGCCCTCCCCGCTTCCGTAGTCAAAGGAGAAGATGTTCATGATCAGCAGCCAGCAGCTCATGGCCCAGATCGAATCGCTGGCGGTCGATTTGGTAAGCGACTTTAAGATGGGACTCAGCGCGAGCAACGAGAAGTAGATCAGGAAAGCCGACTTGACGGTAGAAAGCCGTTGGCGGTTCCTCGAGGAGAACATCGGCGACATGTCCGCCTCGGACGACAGGCCACCCAGTGGACCACTCACCGGGCCAGACAGGGGAGACACTGGTTCCTGTCCGCTGCCATCGACATCCCCACCGCTTCCCATGCTCTGTCGGTGGGCGGGCTCACTGGATTCATTCTGTGCCAGGGACAATCCCAGCCCATGGACCTGGTTCTCCTTCTGGCCGCAGGGACGCGAACTAGCGGTACTGGACGACGGGTTGACGGAGCTAGTCATGGAACTCGAACTCGATCCGTCATCCCCTTCTAATGATGCTCGCTCAGCGACCTGCACACTCTCCACATGTTCCCGCAGAATCCAAGAATCCCAGAAGATCCAACCCAAGGCGGTCCCGACACTGCCCCAGCACACCACCGAGACAGGGCTCACGCGGCCCTGCACAATGCCAACGAAACAGCATACGAAGATCGCGACCGAGCATACATGTTGTACGATAACGGTGGAGTCGGCCACGAGAGGCCAGAAATCGTAGGGGCGTACGCGAGGATTGCGCTGCAGATGGTCCAGGAAGGTCTCTGTATCCGTGTAGTTGTCGGGATCTGAATGTCTCGATTAGTGCCTTACACCAAGACCCGAAAGACCTCATAGGTCATCTCGCGATTCAATCTTACAGGACTGTTTCACCCAGAGTAGCTTTTTCCAGGCGCCCTTTCGTCTCCTCCGGCGGCTGGTCCCCCGCAGCTTTTGTACCTCCTTTCGCCCACCACCACCGGCTCCTGGCACGGCCGGCGGCGATCGCAACGCCGCCACAGCGTTGGGGTTCAACACGCGCATGGAACTGTCAAAGTGGGCCGAGGTAGGCCGCGCGCGCGGCAGCGAAGAGGTGTAGTATGCATCTTCAGGGGCGAGGCGGGTGGGATCCGGGAGGGCTCGTTGCTCTTTCAGGCCGACGCTGCGGTTCGGATGGGTTTCGACGGGCACCGGGGGCGGAACGGGAGGAGGCGAATCGGACAGCGAAGGCATCGAGCAGGACCCGGACTCATGCTTGGAGCATGGTGTGATACGATCGAGATGAGGAAGAGTTGGAGTTAGAATCACCTGAGCTGGAATTCCCCCCCGTCGGTGACGCGAATCGCCAGATCCGGCACGGCGCCCACGTGGGATTAGTCACCCATTCACCATGCTTGACTATGTACTGTACAACTAAGGCAGTATCCAGCTATCCAAATGCGGTTCATGAAGGATAAGGATCACTCAGTACTGGTGAGCAATGGCAGTCTCACCAAAGGCTTACACACGGCCATACATATGAGTGCCTTGTCCCTGCATAGTTGTCACTGTACTGATCAGGTCTGAGTCCATGTCTGTAAACAGCGAGTTTACTGTACAATATACATCATTTTCTACTGGCTCCGTGTCCTGCTCACCAATTATAATAAACGCGCCACCGATAAATCAAAGCCTGGTTCGCGAACTTTGGATGTGCTATACAAGCCTAGGTGCTTGTCGAGTGCACTTTGTTGATCTATGCTATGAGTGTCAAAGGCATTGCTCTTGGGGTATAGTGTGGGAGCCTAGCGCACCTCTTCCTGTCAAATCACTCGCTACACTGTGATCTACATCAGGAGTATAGAAGAGGGTCCGATTATGCCAATGTCAGAATACTCATTCACTGCCTTCGACCACCTTATAAATATCTAGTCACATGCTAAATCTACCTTGGTATCTCCCAACATATCCAATTCCAGTACCTTATCTGCAGGTGGTTCCTCCGCGGGGGTTGCCCATTAAGATAAGAATCCAATGAAAAGCAAACGCAAAACGCGCTACAGTACATGTAGTTACATGTCACCCAACGCGTGATTGCGCACTCTTTGTTTGACCAGTCAATGCCCATCCAATCCACACCAAGGCACTTTCTCCTACTCTCTCACAATTTTCTGTGCCTGTGAAAATAAGAAAATCAATCCCACCCACCGAGGCATCGAAGCCAGCCAGCTTTGTGATTCGATTCCTGTTACGCGAGTACTCTAACTACCAGCGGTGAACAAACAAATATGTCGAACTCCCAGTGGTCAGCGGCAGTTCCACCTCATTTTTCGATTGCATTCTCCTTTTTATGAGGAGGTTACTTTTCTTTTTTGGAGCTTTGGAAAGGGAAATCAACGTCGAGCTAACCGAGTTTCATGTGCTCCCCAATCTCCAGGAGGTCGACCGTTCTCTACCCCAACATCCTCAACTCCCGATCCAACTCCTACGAGGTCGAGGAGTCCGATGCGAAAGGACCGGCTACCCTCAACGAGCAGCACAGCCGCCGGTCCGCCTCGTCCACGCCGCCGTCATCCTACGACTCCGGGCCCGACATCCCGTTCCACGCTGCTACTACATCTACTCCCACTGTCACCGTCACTCGTCATAGCCATAGCCCCGTGACGGCAGCGGCTTACAACAACAACAACAACAACAACAAACCCACCACGGACCCTCCCAACAACGACAACACCGACACCGACACCGACACCGACATCCCCAACCCATTCTTCATCAGCTCCAAGCCCATCAAGGGCCCCCCGATCCCGTTCCCCCGGTACCTGCAAGCGGAGATCGCCAAATGGCACGAAGCCACCCGGGGCCAGCGGCGGAAGAAGCGCCCGCCGTTCTCCTACCGGGGCGAAGGGGTGATCCGGGAGTACAAGGTCTTCGACCGCACCGGCCAAGAGCTGCAGCTCTGCCAGTATCCCCTGAAGAGTCCGCGGACCAACGTGCTGGTGGCGTATGAGGCGACGGCGGCGGCGGCGGCGGCGGGGGCAGGCCCCCCGCGGACGGGTTCAGGTTCCGAGGCATCTTCCGCGTCCGCATCCGCATCCGCACCACCAGGAGGGAAGATCGTGGTCTGCAGCCTGCCCCACTCGAGCCCGTTCGGTACTTTTCTGAGACAATGGACGCCCGCCGAGCAAGATCCCCCGCCGCCGTCGTGCGCGGTGCGCGTCTGGCGGATGAGGCCTGGGCAGGAGATCGTCTATGACCCGGCCGCGTGGGAGTTCATCGATGGCCGGAGGGAGAGGGAGCAGCAGCAGCAACAGCAGGGAGGAGGAGGAGGAGGAGGAGGAGGAGGAGGAATGGCCACAGCTGATGTTCGCCCACGGCCGCAAGAGAGGAGAGCTAGTGAAAGGGGCGTGCCTGCCAGGTCGGCGAGATCGAAGTCTGCGCAGCAGCAGCAGCAGCAGAAAGTGGTCGCGAGCGCAACTCGTGTGGCCAGTATATCCTCAGACAGAGATTCCTCCCCTCTGTCCGAGGTGGTCGACGACACGGACGAGGAGTCATCCTCGGTGAGTGAGCCTATCCAGCAGACCAGAAGAAACCCAAAAAGACAGCAACAGCCTGCCCCAACGTCGCCATCGTCGTCGTCGCCGCCGGTCCCGAAACGGCGCAAGACGAACCATGCGGACCCGCTGTCCTTGCGCAAGGTGACCGGCGGCCTGGTGTTTGTGCTGTGCTCGGAGGACAAGCCCAAACGGTTCGTCTTTGTGGCCACATGCAACACGGTGGATGATCTCTTCGCGCAGGCCCTCGACTTCTTTCGCCTACACTACAAGCTCACGGAGCTCAAATATCTGTGTTGCGAGACGGAGGCGCACGGCGAGGTGTGGCTTCCGCGGGGTGGTCATGATGAGTTTGATTATATGATCTGGGTGGCCTTGGATAGCTTGAAAGGGAAGGAAAATGTTCCAGCTGTGGAGATCAAAGTCAGACCGGTCATTGTACCTTGATGCCGCGGTTGGGGGGCAGAAATAGCGCGGCTCTTGCTGGGTGCTCATTGCCGGCGCTTTCTTGAATATATCTTAGTAACACCCGTACGGACGCTTGAAAAGTAGACGGGTCAATCCGGGATCTACCCGGTTTCCAATGTACGCTTGTATCTATGTAGTGGTACAGGACAACTGGCCGACTCCGAGAGACATGACCGAGAGGAGAAACCGCCCGAAAAGGAATAATAATTCTTGACATGCAGTGGATGCCTGGCAAGAAGAATCCAAAAAAGAAAGTGCATAACAGTCTAACCACATGCACTCAGCAAGCACAATCTGAGTCTAATGCCTTGTTCCATGATTTGGAGGAAGTCATCGAACATTTCCAGGTGGTCGGAGATTATACGGAGCATTATGATATAAAAAACAGTATAAAATGCAGTAGTACAATGTGTGTCATGACAATCGACGGGTATCAAAACGCTCAAAATGAGGAGGAGGAGGTGAGGAGGGGAGGGGCCGGACACATCTTTGTCCAGCATGCATGCTGTTTGTCCGGAAGGGTCATCCTATTCAGGATGCGTTCGGTTGACTAGTAGCTTGGTGCTTGGCTTCCAAGGCCGCCTTGAGCTCCTGCAGGGACGCCTCGTCGATGCTGTTCCTGCGTCCCCAATTGGCAGGCTGTCTCCGCAGGAACGCGCCCACGGAGCCGATGTAGCCCTCGTGACGCAGGAAGTACGCTTGCTTCTCGCCCTTGGACCAGAACTTGATGGCGTACGAGAGCGTGTTCATGGTCTGGCGGTGTCCGCGGATGAAGGAGCCGCCGAAGTAGATGTGCTTGACCTGATGCTTCTCGGACTGCAGGTAGGCGATCTGGCCGATGTTGTTACTGTGACCTGTTAGACTGGTTTCCTTTTGCTGCAAACTGAGTGTTGAGGATCACGACGCACCTGATGGCATAGAGTAGACTCCTGCTCATATCCTCGGGCTTGAACTTCGGATCGCCATTCATTGAATCAAGCTCCCCCTCCTCGGGCGACGACTCTGCCCCGTCTGCTGTCTGCTGCCCGGCTTGATTCTTGAGGCGGAACACCTTGCCGAAGGTGCTTGCAATGGCCGTGTTCTTGAGTCCGATCTTGCTGTAGTCCATGCCGTAGATATCCCCCACCAGCATGTCCACCCCGCTGTTGTCACCCCGATCCGCCATGGCGAGCATATCGTCGAAAGTGCGGGCCCCCGTCAGCAGCGACATGAGACCCCAGAAGGTCCCACCCCCCAAATGTGTACCCCCTACACGTTGGAACTGCTTGGGGCCGGACACTTTGATCATGGACACGCCGGAGCCGATGTTGACTAAGAGGTACGGGTAAACATCCGGTCGGGCCTCGGCAAATTGCATGGGTTCGGTTTCGCTGTAGGTGAACACCTCGTTGGGGATCTCCGTGATAAAAAAGTCCAGGCCTGTTGGTAAACAGGTGCGAGTCAGAGATGCGTTCTCGTCCCAACATGTTAACTAACGAAAGGGTAATATAGACTTGCGTACCAGTGATGAGACATTCCATCTCATCCTCCCGAATGATGTCGACGTTGAGGGACTCCTTGAGCTTGTCATAGTACAGGTAAGCCCCGCCTCCCGTCGCCATGACACATAGCTCCGCCCCCGACGAGCCCTTCAGCTTCTCGTGTTCAGCCTTCAATTCTTTGATGAAGTCGATGCAGAGGTCGATGCGGGAGGTTTCGAAGTTGATGAAGTTGAGTCGCCCGCCATTGTCGGCAGAGTCGATCTCCCGAGTGAAGTAAACGAGCTTTGCCAACGAGCCGCCGATCTAAGAAAAAAGAAACCATATGGCTCGAGTTAGTTTTCTGATCAAAGTGGTGGTGGAGAGGCTGGAGGTGCTAGTGCGATGAACGTTGAGGATTGCGGGGAGCTTGCTGCGATTGTGTGCGGGGAACCGCGGAGTGTCCGGATGGAAAGTGTCAGGTCAGGGAGAAAGTTAACTCACGTCAACAGCTACATGACTAATTTCCTTGTGATTCGGAAGCCGAATGTCATGACCTGAGCCAGAATTATAAGCAAAAGTGAATTTCGGTGGGTTAACTGGTGGGACGTGCCGGCACGAAACGAAAAAGGCGTGCTTCTCGCCAGGGGGGGGGGGGGGGGTTGCTCACCTTCATAAGAAACCCCGTCGGTCCTCACCGGACTTTTGGACCTCGGATCATCGTCCACAATGAAAGCACCCTTCACATTGATCTTGACGGTCCCCGGATTGGCCAGTTCCAGCCGAGCGCTCGCCCGATTAGAAGTAGATGTGGCCATGACGACTCAATGGCACGGAGCAAGTATCATGAGATTGAGGAGAATCGGAGCGATGACAAAGAAGGGGGGAGAGGGGGGGG